AACTTTACAGGCTATGTCACAGCTCTGGCCCCTACCCTCCCTCCTTTACCCCGCTTTATTTTCCATCAAAATACCTACCACCATGTGGCATGGTAAATGTTGAATGTTACTGTCTGCTGTCTGGGTCTCCTCTGTGAGGGCCGTACCCCTGTGCTTAGTCCACAGTGGGTTCCACTCCTGACACCTTCCTCAGGTGGCTTTTACAGCCCACTTATTTTGGCTCTCCTATAATTCATTTTTTTCCTATTTTCTTTAAATTTTGTTATAAAACATGCTCATACTACTAATTTTTTTTACCTAGAAACTTTTTCCTTAAGGTATACAAACTTCATATATTTCATATATACAAATTTAGGAACATGGTGATTCTTCCCACGCTGCCCTCCCTCCCACCCACACTTCTGCCCTTCCTCCTCCCTCTCCTAATCCCATTCTTATTTTTTACTAAGATCTATTTTCAATTAACTTTATACACACAAGGTTAATGCTATACTAAGGAAGGAGTTCAACAATTAGTATGAATAAAGAAAAACTGTTCCTCAACAGTCAAGACAAGGGCTATTCAAAGTTATCACATTTCAAAGTGTCAATTTCACTTCTATAGGTTACCTTTTAGGTACTCTATAAGTTACCACAGATCAGGGAGAACATATAGTTTTTGTCTTTTGGGGACTGGCTTATTATACTAAGTATAATGTTTAGCAGTTGCATCCATTTGTCTCAAATGACAGGTTTTCACTCTTTTTAACCGCTGTATAGTATTCTGTGGTGTACATAAGCCACAATTTCTTTATCCAGCCTTCAGCTGACAGACATCTGGGTTGATTCCATATCTTAGCTATTGTGAATCGAGCAGCAGGCTCTCTTATGGTTTAATTAGCTAGTCCTTTTCTGCCTCCTTGCTGGTACACGAAAAGGGGTGAGAGGGTACAAAACATATCACAGGAAGATAACTGGTCTTCTACACTATGTTGAGAGAGCCCCATGGCAGCATAAAAGCTGGACAACTCCCCACCTTCTTGGGAGCAAAGTATTTTATTATCCAGGGAAAGCTGAGAGCTTGCTTTCTGTGTGTGCAGATAGGGTACCTGCAGCAGGACAGCCAACATATGAAAGTGGGTGAAGAACTTCAAAAAGTTCATGAAAGCTGGAATTAAAAGATAACTATGATGCTAAAAAAAAGGCAACCCAAATTTATGCAGTTTTTTCATAATCTGCAGTTTTTATGAATTTTTGAAGACCCTGTACTAGTTTTTCCTACTAAAAGGGAAACTACTTCTTAAAAGTGAATTTTTAAACTTAATTTTTTACAGCTTCAACCAACAGAAAATATAAAATTAAATTAACTAGTGATAGGAACTATTAAAGATCACCTAAAGTAACTTATTTTATGAAGTACATAGGGTAGTTTCTAATTGATAAAGTTAATTATAATAAGGTGAAATTTTCTACCATTAAAACAAAATTGCCTAAATTGAGGGAATAATATTAAAAAATGTTCCTGATAAAAAGAAAAATAAAAAGAAACTACACAGCATTTCCCCTTATTAAATAAATATTAAGGGAGGCCATTATTTTGGACTGAGCTCCTGTACTGAGACCAGAGCAGACCAAATAAAAATGGAGTCCCTCATGCTAAACACCATGTAATCAAACTGAAACTGTAAAGAGGCAGATAGACCATAACCAGTTTTTCCTGAAAACAAGAGATTCCAGTCTACTAGTCTGGAACAAGGAAGTCCCTTCTGTTTTAACCTGAACAAAAAAAGTAACAAGATGTTAACCAATGATTTTCCCCCCTATTGTTCTGTTTCCTTGTTTCCAATTTACAATCTCAACAGTTCTGCCATTGCTCAGTGGGAGCTCTCATTTCATTTTATAGAATGGAGGCTGTTCTCATTCATGAATTGCACATCAAAGCTAATTAGATCCATAACTACATTTGTTGTAATTTTGTCTTTTGACACGACTAAATGTAGCCAACCTTGTTCAGGAGTAACCCAGGAATTGTCACAGATAGGAGACAAAGGAGAAACAACCACTAAATGCAATATGGACCTAGAACCAAAAGCAAAACAAAATGAAAAAAAAAGTAATGGGACAAAAACTAGTAAAATCCAAGCAGCCTATAATTTAAAAGCAAACAAAAGAACCCCAAACAAAATCTCCCAGTTCAGTACAAGGAACCCTGTCTCAGCCTGTAGCTCACATCCTCTGCCTAAGCACTTGGTCTACCTGGAATTGTACACCAGGAGCTTGTACACACTTCCAGGGCTAGAGGCCTTTTATTGCTAGAAGGTTCTGCCCTGTGTTGCTTTGAGTCACACTTGCTTGTAACTTTGCCCACTTTAGTTCTTCCTTCTAGAACTACACATACTAAGCCAAATCCCTCTTTCACTGGATCTTTACATAGTCTATGTTTTGTGTTTCGTTTCTGTGTGAAACTTGACAACCTTGTCCCCTTCGTTGTACACACCATGGTTTTTATAGCCTTCATTATTCTCATCACAAGACTTTGAAGGTACTCCAGTTTGTCAAATGGCCTCTTAAAATCCCGGCTCAGAAGGTCGCTCTACTGTAGAGCATATGGAACTGTTTCCCTTTTGTTTTGGACACCGTTTCTATGCCTAAAATTGTCATCTCTATATTACATTGTTGATCTGAACTCAAAATCAACAGCTCCTTACTCTTTTTCCTAGGATTCCTATGAAGGAACTAGGAGGGGTGGGGGTGGGGTGCACAGCTGCCAACATCATCTTTCTTTCTTAATAACAAATCATTTGAGTGTTATGTGAGAGAGCGAGGAAAATGCTGTTCTGTACCTACCTACACTTGACTTTCACTATTGCTTATGTCTCCTTCAAGTTCAAATGTGGAAATCCTAACCTCCAAGGTGACAGAATTGGGGGAGAGGTATTTTGGGGGTGATTAGGTTATAAGGCAGTGTCCCCATGAGTGGGATAAATGCCCTCATCCAAGAGAGCTTCCTGTAGCCAGCATTGTGGCATAGTGGGTTAAGCTGCCTCCTGCAGTGCCCACATCCCATATGGGCACTGGTTCAAGTCCCAGCTGCTCCACTTGGGATCCAGCTCCCTGCTAATTCACCTGGGAAAGCTGCAGAAGATGGCCCAAGCACTTATGTGGAAGACCCAGAAGCAGCTCCTGACTCCTGGCTTCAGCCTGGCCCAGCCTCAGCCATTGCAAGCCGTTTGGGAAGGAACCAGTGGATGGAAGATTTCTCTCTCTCTCTCTCTCCCTAACTCTGCCTTTCAAATAAAATATATATATATAAATAGATAGATATAGATATAGATATAGATATAGATATTTTTTTAAAAGAAAAAAAGAGATGGCTGGCCTAGGTGAGGTTATAGGAAAGAGACCACTGTGTAGGAAGCCTGCCCTCACCCAACATCGATCCTGCGGGCATTTTCATCCTGGGTGCCCCTGGCTCCAGGACAGAAACAAACCTCTGCTGTCTCTGAGACACTCAGTTTATGGTCTTGCATGACAGCAGCTCCAGCAGGACTAAGACAACTTTCCAAACAAGACGAAGAACTCACTTCAACCAAACTTACACAAGGATCAGCTCCCAAATCCCACGAGGCAGTTCCCAATCCTGATCCAACCACGGAATCTAAAGAGGGCAGAGCACTCCTGCCCATCATTAGTCCTCGCTCCGGTGGAGAGCCAGGCCTTCCTTTTCCTCCTCAGGGAATCCTGCTGGCAAGTGGCGGAGCCCCCGCGAGGCGTCCAGAGCGTCCCTCCGCACAGCCTTACTCCCAAGCTCTGTCTGCGAGCCACAGCCTTCGCCTGGGAAACCCACCAAGCTGCCGGGCACCACCTTCCAGAAACCAAAGCGTCGGGGCTGAGTGTCCCAACAGCCCTTCCCGGGCCAGAGTCATCCACTATTACACAAAGCTAGCTCATTACTTCCTTGCTCCTGGGCATCACCCAGCTATTGTCTGACTTTTCACTCTGGACACCCCCAAATCCCTTTGAAGCCAAAGCGTTAGTCATTTCGGTCAGGTGTCAAACACACGCACACCACGGCACGTGCGTCTACAATCAGCAGCAACTTGACAGAACATTTGGAGATCCCTGGAATCCCTGGCTGGAGCACGCAGGGAGGGCCTGGACAAAAACATGACTGTAAAGCAGCCTTCCCATATTCGTCGCCTTGGGGACACAGGGTTCCTAAGTCAGGAGTGGGATGTCACCAACACTCGGTCACCTCACACGACCCCAACGATGAGCCGAGGGAGGGAGGCAGCTGGCAGGCCCGGAGGCTGGCGGGCTGGGCGCCGGGGCCCCAGGAGCTGGAGCCGCAGCACCGCCGGCAACCCGCGACCCCTCACCTCGCTTGTCCAGGAGCCACATGAACGCGAAGCAGGGCAGGAAGCCGATGGGCCCCCACAGCACGAGCAGCGCGATGTCCCAGCTGGAGAAGCCGTAGGCCTGGCGCGCCGAGTTCTGGATGGGGCCCCAGGTGTTCCAGACCAGGCCCTGCGCGAACGCGAGCAGCGAGAAGAGCAGCAGCACCAGCCAGCGGCGCCCGTACACGCGCCCGGGACCAGGGACAGCCGCGGGCAGCGCCGCCGCCGCCGCCTCCCGGCTTCTCCAGGCAGCCCCTGGCCCGGACCCGGGCCCGGGCCCCAGCAGCGGCTGCCGCTCCTCCTCGCTGCTCCAGCCCGAGCCCATGGCGACGCGCAGCCCGCGGGGCCCGCCTGGCGCGGTCCCTGTCGCCGCCGACCAGCCCGGCGCACCAGTGGCCGGAGAAGGCTGAGCCCCAGGCAGCTGCTGTGGTCTCCCTCGGCTCCGCGGCCGCGCTTGGTGCGCCTGCGCGGCCGCGCCGGCCGGGGCGGTGGGCGGGGCCGAGGGGCGGAGGCTGGGGTCCGCCCTCGCCGCGGGTGCTGGCGGGGAACCGTCGTGGGAGAGGCGCCGGGGTCCCACACTGGGCTGCAGAAGGAATTGAAAAGTGAGGGAGGAGCGCGTCCGGGCCGGGCCGAGGAGGCCGAAGCTCCCTCGGAGGCTGTGTTGGAGGAGGTGGGGCCGGCAAGCTCCAGTTGCTGGAGGAAGTGCCCAAGTGTACAGTATGTGCCTAATAAACAGCTCGGTGACCTTGGGTCACCGAAGCTCATGCTTGCTTCTATATTGGGTTTATGCCTGGTTTTATTGAGCTCACAACTTCAGAAGTTATAGGAGGAGACAGACTACGGATGGAGGTCGGGGGCAGAGCAGCAGGAGTCCCAGGGACTGTCTCGTGGAAATCATTTCTTTGTTCTTTACGTACACTAAGCACTGCCTAGTTTTATCAGAGGTCTTTCTGACTTACATATCCAATGAGGTCATCAACTAGCCAGTTTCCTCCGAACACACGTCCTGGTGGTGGATAATCTTCCCATTCTGTCCGCCCCTTAGTAAATCAGCAACCAAGATGCTGATTAAGGTCGGAAGGTTTCTGCCCCCCGAAGTAACCTGGATCCATGCCGAGTTACGATTTCGGACCAGAAGAAAGTCAACAAGGAAACGCGGGGAGTTGTTGATCTCTCGATCAGGCAGCTGTTTGATTATTTTGATACACAGATCCAGAGGCGTGACAGCTGTCTGTTAGCGTCCTGGAACACCTAGGCCAGGCAATCTGGCTGGCCTGGGTCGGGAAGTGAGTCACAGGAACGCAATTAAGGGACACTTTGCCCGAAGCTCGTATTCCCAAGGAGCCACAAAGACGAGATGGAGTCGCATCGCTGCCAGAGAGGCAGAGGAACGTGAAGCTATCCTCGGCGGGAGGCGGCAGAGTGAGCGGACGCACAGACCCTCTCCACAGCCCGGAGCCCACAAAACCAGCCCTCCGACCCCTAGGGCAGAGGGAAAGAACCTGATGTGAAAGCCAGGAAACGCAGAAACCGCGATCTGCAGAGAAGGGGCGCAGGCGCCCCGGCCCAGACCACGTGTCTGTGTGTGTCAACAACTGGGGAATCCAAACAAACTGCGTGGCCCCGCCCCGCGCCCGTCACGTGGCCCCGGCGGCGCGGGCGCTTCCGGGAGAGCGGGGAGCCGCGGCGCTAGTGCAGCCCGCCCGGCCGCGTGGACGCCGTCTGCTCCGCTGCTTTCTGGGCTCTAGCCGGGCCGGCCTCGCGGTCGCCATGGCAGCAGGCTCCGAGGCCAGCGTGCCCCAGACCCTGGCGGCTGGAGCCGGAGGGGAGGAAGAAGGTAGGCGGCGGCGGCGGCGGTGGTCAGAACGTTTGGGTTAGCCGGGTGTCGGGTCCTCCCGGCCTTGACTTAGACTGTGAAGAAAGCGGTTTGTTTTTTAGTGAACTTGTTTTTTAATTTTTTTTCTCAACCTGGCCTGGTATCCCCGCATGCTACTGGTGCTGTTGCATGCCCAGAAAGGCGCTTTGAATGTTCAAGTGGGCTGCAGTTAAGTGTGTGAGGTTGGACGGAAATAACCCGGGGTGGTTGTGAACAGCGACTGTGATTTCGCTTGGGACCCCGGGTTAGCCAATGCACGAGGTTTGCAGGCCCAGGGCTTGTGGTCCCTGTCGGCGCTTAGTGGAAAACTGCACGGCGCACTTACTGGTCTGGGTACTGCCCCGGAATGCAGGGACGCTTAGCGTTCCTAACAAAGCCCTTTCCCCCCAGGAGCTCCAGTGAGCAAAGCAGCCTGGAACGGAAGAGTGAGTAATCGCTCTGTGGTCCCTTGGGTACCCCCCCCCCCCGTAGTGCCCACCGAGTGGCGAAAGCAGATGCTTGGGGGGAAGGAGTAAGTTGGGGTTGCAAGGAGATGGTGACGGCAGGCAGAGGTGTTGCAGACTCGGCCCGCAGTGGACCCTATCAAATCCTGGAGGAGGAGGTGCGCCTTTCAGGCTGGCGCGAGGCCTCCTCCTGTGCCACTACTTCTCCTTGCTCTCCTAACTCCCTTGCTTGTGTAGGCCAGGGAGACGTTTCTTGAACTCCATTTGTACCTCGCATCCCCTGATCCATCCATTTTCCGTGCACTGCACCCCTGACCCGGTTTTGAGTGCAAGTCGCCATTTACTGTTAGAATACCGCTGTTCTCTTGTCCCTCCCTGTGCTTGTGCCAGCAGAGCCCTTGCTCAGGGTGAACCCAAGCTTTTACTGCTTTGCTGTAAACTTAAACAGAATGCTGACTGCTGTATCAGATGAAGATGGCCGACCTCTGGACCCTTCACTCAGATCCTGTTACTATGCCTACTTTCTTTCTCCAGTGACAGTTCCCCAAACTCTGGATCCTCTCTCCATCTCTTTCTTGTTTTGAGCTGATGGCTTCCCAAGTTGGGAAGTTCTGCATTTAATCTGTCTACTGTTGCTGCAGGATCAGACCCTGGTCCAAAGCACCCACGTTCCTCACCTAAACCACTAGTGGGTCTTCCTGACTTGTGTCCCCGCTTCCTATTTTGTGTCCCTCCAGTTCAGGAGTTGAAAGAAGTGGATGTGTGAGCCGGCACTGCGGCTCACTAGGCTAATCCTCTGCCTGTGGCGCCGGCACTCCGGGTTCGAGTCCCAGCTGGGGCGCTGGATTCTATCCCGGTTGCTCCTCTTCCGGTCCAGTTCTCTGCTGTGGCCCGGGAGTTCAGTGGAGGATGGCCCAGGTGCTTGGGCCCTGCACCCTCATGGGAGACCGTAGCAGCCATTTGGGGGGTGAACCAACAGAAGGAAGACCTTTCTCTCTCTCTCTCTCACTCACTGTCTAACTCTGCCTGTCAAAAAAGAAAGAAGTGGATGTGAGGAGCAGTGAGAAAGGAGGGGTCCTGTGGGTCACCTTCTGCCAGGTGTGGGAGCCTGGTCTCTAAGATGGGGGAGGGGAGGAGCTGTTGAAGTGCCTGACAGGTGGAGGGCAGTCACTTGAGCAGATCTGGGTTTAGGGAAATCACTGTGGCTGAAGGGTGATCGATCGGAAGGAAAAGACCAGAGGAGGACGTACTCCAGTCGCTTTGAGTCTCAGCTCCTCCTCTGTGCAATGCACAGTTATTGTAAACTTAAGAAAAAGATGGGTAGATCATCCAGCATGATGGAGCTTAGCATTCCAAAATGGTAATTATTTCAGTTTTACTAATAGAAAGTGCCCACCTTGGTGAAACTGAGATGAAAAAAACCTGGAGAGGTCTGTGAAATTGTCCAGCCTGAAAAACTAGGTGTAGGTTAGGAAGACGAAGAAAAGGAGCAGCAGTGAGCTTCAATGTGACTGCGTGGAGCTTAGGTTTGGGAGGGTAACGCTGAAGAAGATGCCAGCAGGCAGCCGGGGAAGACGAGGTTTTTGTTTTCTATAGTATTCACATACAGTGAATATAGTATAGTATTCACAACAGACTTCACCCTTTTAGAATATATAGTTCAGAGGTTTTCAGGATTGCACAAGTTGTGTACCTATCATTACTATAATTCCAGAACATTTTTGTCACTCTCCATGAGAAACTTGGTACCCACTTCTTTAAAAAAAAGATTTTATTTATTTATTTGAGAGGTAGAGTGACAGACAGAGAGAAAGGTCGTCATCCACTGGTTCACTTCCCAGATGGTCACAGTGGCTAGAGTGGAGCCAATCTGAAGCCAGGAGCCAGGAGTTTCTTCTGGGTCTCCCATGTGGGTGCAAGGGCCGAAGCCCTTGGACCATCTTCTGATTTCCCAGGCCATAAGTGGAGAGCTGGCTATGAAGAGGTGCAGCTGGAACACAAACTGGTACCCATATGGAATGCTGGCACTGCAGGCAGAGCTTAGGCTACTATGCGACAGGGTCAGACCCACCTGGTACCCATTGGCTGTCCCTCCCCATTCCCCCAATTCTCCAGCTACAGGAAACCATTAGTCTACTCTGTCTTTAGATTTTCCTCATCTGGACGTTACATATAAAGAGAATCATACAATAGGGACCTTTTGTGTCTGTCTGCTTTCAGGTAACAGTGTTTTTGAAGGTTCCTCTGTGTTGTAGCATAGATCAACATTTGCTGTCTTTTTTGTAGCTGAATAATAGTCCATTTTATGGATCTACCACATTTGATGGACATAAGTTGATGGACATTTGGATTGTTTCCACTTTTTGACTGTTGTGAATAATGCTGCTATAGACATTCATGTACAAGTTTTTTTTTTTTTTTTAAGATTTTTATTTATTTGAAAGGTAGAGTTACAGACAGTGAGAGGGGGAGACAGAGAGAAAGGTCTTCCATCTGCTTGTTCACTCCCCAGTTGGCCACAACGGCCTGAACTGAACTGATCCGAAGCCAGGAGCTTCTTCCCAGTCTCCCATGTGGGTGCAGGGGCCCAAGGACTTGGGCCATCTTCTATTGCTTTTCCAAGCCACATCAGAGAGCTGGATTGGAAGAAGAGCAGCCGGGACTAGAACCAGCGCCCATATGGGATGCCGGTGCTGCAGGCGAGGGATTAACCTACTGCGCCACGGCGCCGGCCCCATTGTCCAAGTTTTTGTATGTGATATGAGCATATGTTTTCAGTTCTCATGATATCTAAGCTATCTCAGATATCTAGGAGTGAATTGCTGGGTCATGTGATAAATTCGTATTCAACTTTTTGAGGAAGATACATGTTTTGAATTTTTATTTATTCTGTTTGAAAGGCAGAGAAGGGGAGAGAGACGGGGCTAGAAAGACAGAGCTCCCAATTGCTGGTTCACTTGTCAAATTTCTGCAAAGCAGGGGCTGAGCAGGCTGAAGCCAGGAGCTAGGGACACAATCCTGGTCTCCCATGTGGGTGGCGGGGATGCATCCATGTAGGCCATCCTCACTGCCTCCCAGAATGCCCGTTAGCAGGAAGCCGGAACCTTGGGAGTGAAGCCAGACCTGAGCCCGGGCGTTCTGACAAGTGCTGTAGTCATCCCGACAGCCTCTTACCGCTGCTCCAAACGCCGGGCCCACAGAACATTAATTTTTAATCTGAAGTCCTAAGAAGCGAAAAGATCTGATGAAAAGTGTGGATCTGTTTCCCAGAAAAATGTACATTACACAGGGTATGGGCAGGACTTTGTAGTGGAAAATCCTGGGCTGCTTCCAAGTTGAGCCTCTGTAGTTGCTTTGTTTTCCTTGGGCCCCCCTCACACACATAGGCAATTGCTAACTTCCCAACAAAAGTGTGTGTTCAGCACAATGGTGAATATGCTGGGAGTCCTAGGAAAGTTCATTTTTGGACAAACATTACCACTTCCTTATCATGAAATATTTGAATGCACTGGGGATTTTAAGAAAAGCAAGTCTGTGTAATCTCAAAAAGGAAAAAATTCTCATGCAGGAGCATATATTCATAACTTAGCTAAAATGTAGTGGGTAATAAGGAGCATCAGAAGAACAATACTGTTGAAATCATTTTGTTTCAGGCCGGCGCCGCGGCTCACTAGGCTAATCCTCCGCCTAGCGGCGCCGGCACACCGGGTTCTAGTCCCGGTCGGGGCGCCGGATTCTGTCCCGGTTGCCCCTCTTCCAGGCCAGCCCTCTGCTGTGGCCAGGAAGTGCAGTGGAGGATGGCCCAGGTGCTTGGGCCCTGCACCCCATGGGAGACCAGGAAAAGCACCTGGCTCCTGGCTCCTGCCATTGGATCAGCGCGGTGCGCCGGCCGCAGCGCGCTGGCCGCGGCGGCCATTGGAGGGTGAACCAACGGCAAACGAAGACCTTTCTCTCTGTCTCTCTCTCTCACTGTCCACTCTGCCTGTCAAAATAATAATAATAATAATTAATTAATTAAAAAAAAGAAATCATTTTGTTTCAGTAAAAATACATGACATAAAATTTACCGTGGTCTTAATTCATAATGCTGTTGTAGCTAAAGACTGAAGACTGGGTAGTTTATAAAGAGTAGCAATGTATTTTCCTGCTCTTTAGAAACTGGGAAGTCCAAGATCAAAGGCACCCTCCAGTTGGGTTGTCTGGGGGGGACTGCGCTCTGCTTCCCGGAAGGCACCTGTTGCCTCACTCGGTGGGAGGGCGCTCTAGCCTAATGCTGTGTGCAGCCTCTCTGCTAAGGGCCTTCATCTCATTCCCAAGGGAGAAACCCTCATCACCTAACTACCTCTTAACACTATCACGTTGACCATCAAGTTTGAACACCTGAATTTTGGAAGAGAAACGTTCAAACCATAGCAGCCATGTTAACCGCATGTGAAGTGTGCAGTTCAGTAGTGTTATGTAGAGTCACACTGGAGCGAAAGAGTCCTCCAGAACTTGTGTTTTATCTTGCATATCTGA